GAAAACATTAGAACTATACATTTTATATTCTAGTTCTGAGTTTACCGCTATGCATTCCTGATTTGTTTAGAAAAATATTTAATGTAGCTGAGAAATAAAATGATAACAATATCTTTTTTATTGATTACTATTGATAATAAAATCAGACATTTCAATTTATCAAACATTTATCAATTTAGTTCCATATTTGCTACATAAAAGGCAAAGTCCTCACTCATTCATTCATTCATCACTAAATCTCCCTAATTTACTTTTTTCACCCCGTGTAAAGAACGGGAATTCAGTCGTGAGGATTATTATTTTTTATTTTTGGGTTAGGTCTGTTACACTTTGGTCTATTTCCCACTGTCCTCAGAAATGCCAGAATTGCTATACTCTCTTGTCGTTACCCAGTGAGCACCTATTATTAAGCCACGGCTGTGGAGTAGCGTCGCCCACAAACCAGTTTATAGGGCGGATTACATTCACACAATTACACAGAAGAACACTGAGAGAGAAAGAAATATCCATGCCCTGAGCGGGATTCGAACCCGCAACCATCGGCTCCGTAGTCAGGCACGCTAAATACTCGGCCACCTGGTCGGCGCCAGTGAGAAAATAAAAATAAAAATATTCATTTAGTAATTATCGGGGTAATCAGCCTGATTGTTATAATGCTAACTGGCACGTTTTTACCAACATAAATGTCTCAAATTTGGAACTGTTTGAAATCTCAAATTGTTCCTGATCAGATAGCAAAACTAAAAATGTTTCTTTTTTGATATTTGTAATTATAAAGATAAATAAAATATTATTAAATCAAAATTGACAGCAATGCTAAATAATACGTTGTAACCAATATAGAAATTCAAAAATTAGACCATGCGTTCTTAAAGCAACAAAAATAAAAATAATAAAACTAATAAGAATATTTATTCTTGGTAACGATCCGGTTAATAAGGGGTAGATAGACTAATTCACAGCTATGTTAAAACATTCCCACGAATTACCACCATGTGTTTGGCAAAGAGCCGATTTCAGGTTTCCTGCCATTAAACAAAGAATAGGCGTATTCATGCAGATAAATGACTATGTAGATCCGTGAAGCAGTGTGTTTTGGTGGACGGACTAATTGGTCACTACAAGTTAGTCCGAAATATTTTTAACCGTTTTGTTATTCCATTTTGCCGTTTTGCTCTCAAATTACTAATGCTGAGTATTTAGAGTACTACCAAAGGCAGAAGAAACAAACGGTGCTCCGCAAATTAGTGAGTTCGCGCAGCTGATGGATATTGTGGAAACACAAAGCAGTTAATTGGTGTAGGGAGACCAGCTGGTCGCCTTTGGCGACTTATAAAACGAATAATCTCTTCTCCTCCATGAAAAAAAAGCTAGTAAGTCATTTAGATAGATAAAGATGTATACCACCTGATATGTCTGTAAATTACTATATTTCTAAGACAGTAAATAATAGTTTTCACGTACTTTTATTGCTTTACATTAAATAATTTTAATAAAAAAGTAAAAAATTTAGTTGCGACAATATAATAAAATATATATTTACAAAAAATACCTCTGCAAAAAATAATAATAATAATATTTTTTCATTTTTACATTTACAACACATCAGTCCCGTTTAACTCCATAAATCTCTTCTCCATGATATAGTAAAAAATAGGTATTCAAGGAGCAATGTTAACTTACACGAATTGTTTTTACAGGAAATAATTATTATAGCGTATTTATGTTAGTAAATTATTGTTTTCATCAATTTCTAATTTTATCGCTTTACACTCTTGATTTTCATATAAAAAAATAAATAAATAAATAAAAAAATTTAAAAATATAAGATTTTACTGAAAGTGTGGAATTTAAGAAGAAATAAGACAAAAAAAATATTATACATGTGAAATGGGAAGTTATTAAAATTTTAATAGATAGTCATTATCCGCTAAGAAGTTCATTACTGTTATTAATCTTTTGTTTAAAGTATTGTTTGTAATAAAAGTTTTCTGCCAAATTTCTAAATTTGTTGGGCTAGGTTGACGACTATGCCAGGAGACAGTGTAGGAACAACTAGTGAGATAATGTTCAGGCGAACCTTGTTGGCCGCAGGTGCAAAGATCAGTATCTGTTATATGCAGGTAATTAAAGAA